AGCGTGTACGTACACTAAAAAACACCTAATCATATGAAATAAAAAATTTGAAAAAATGAATTAAAGCTCAACAGTAAGCACGTAAAATCTGTTACTCCACCTCTACAGCAGTCCACTCCCCTCTGAAAATAGCAAAATCTCAAAAAAAACTAATACTATTACCGCACAAAATGATTTTACCTATGTTAAGAAAACACTCCGTGGAATTTCTGTGTAAAAAAAATTGTTCCGTCCACAAAAACCTGTACTCTTAAGTAAAAGTAACAAAATAGTAATAATGGAAACTGGCTCCAACATCACATTTCAGGGAATGTCTCGACAACAATGCCACATACCAACATAAGATAGCAACAGACCACTAGCCACATTTCTGACGAAACGAATGATGTCGAAAAATCCGCAAACTACCAGAAATAAACTTGGCGAACAATGCCCACCTTGACCAGTGGTCAGCATTTTTAAAACTTGCTAGCCAGCCGTGGTACGGTAACTCTGGGTCCTGGCGCGAAATACAAACTAGAAATGACGGCGCCTATGATTTGTGAGTTTGTATGACCAGCATTACCTTCCACGTATTAATAAACACCATTCTCTGACAGCTCAGCGCCTTTTCTAACTTAATATGCGCTTAGAAGTTCTTTGCCAATTTTCTCTGGAACACTAACGACGGCAGCATCAAGCGCAAGCGGATGCTCGTGTAAGAAGTATCGCAGTAGCGCCTCGCAGAATGACTTTGGGGATTTTTCAAAGGCCACAGATGTGGTAAAATGTTAAGAAGTAAGTGATACTCGTTTTTCCAATCGCACATTTGATCAAGATCTTTAATAATTAAATCTGCTTCCCCGTAAGAAATATGCGAGAAAAAAAATTTTAATTTTGGCGAAAAGATGAAACTTTCTCTCAAACAGCTTTATGTGAAGCTTGTAAAAGAACTATCCAAATCGGCACTTACAAATCCACTCGTTGCAAATGTAAGTATTTAAATATAGATTTCATGTCTAAAATAGGAACAACCCTATGCCGTTTAAAAACTGAGGTATTAATACAATAATTTACTGAGTGACAGTGCAATATCTGATGCTAGATGACTGAAGCATTTTTTGTGCAAAACTCTTACTTTTCAAATATCCCCAAGCTAGTGACAAAATTACTGCGCGTTAACATTCCAATCTTTGGTAAGCCAGTGGTGCCATTAAAAAAAAAAAACCCAACAATAAAAATTATACTTCTCCTCGCTTCTCGTGTGTCGTAAATAAGGCCTTGCTCAAGCTCACCTATAACATGGAAAAACAGCAAGTTCCTCCAAAATTCCTCTGTCGCTGTCACTATTAAGGATATCACTGTGTGGGATACAGCCAATCATCTCTGATCAGCAAATCAACCGATTTCTAGTCTTTTTCAAACTGAACTAGATGAACAAATTTCTGGTATCCAAATAATTGCCTGGAAGAAACATTTTAGAGAATAGAACCGGAACCGCCCTTTTTCTCGATTAAATAAGTGTTCAACCGTTTCTGGTTGGCGAAGAAAATTTTTTGAAATATCATTACAGCACCCATAATTTTATGGTAGTCAGTAATAAAAGAATTTAGCATCTTGAAATTCACAGTTCCAATTCCGTGAAAAAATTTCAAAAATCTACTCCAGTGAAACTTCTCTAAGCAGCAAAAAAAATTTTCTCGAGTAACTCCTCTTCTGCCAAAAAAATTTTGACGTCTGCATTCACCAATGTTTACCGACTTCCAATAAAAGGATATAAATTTATAAATTCAGATCTAAAATAATGAAAATACTATCTCCTCATCAATCTTAAACCAAAAATATCGCTTTACAGACATTTTTGCTTTACCCTTCAGCCAAGTGAGAAGAAAAACATTACAATAAGTGGATTTTCAATTAACAAGTGATTCTTCCGTCCTGAGATAAAACAGCTGAGAAAGCTACGAACTACTGACAGTTTGGCAGAACAGCTGCTGCTACATTCTTCTTTGCAAAATTTAAGTGATCCGAAAACGTTGTAATCCTTTGAATTATATCACATAGTTGTTTATACGTTACTCTGACTGAAATGTCCTCGGTCCTGACCTTTAACTAAAACTTTACAATTCATACTACACCCCTTTACCATTGCTAGCGCTAACTTTTATGTTTTCAGCAATGTTGGTCTCCACCACTCTAACTTTATACCTTCTTTTTGCAAAAAAATTTAACAGTACCTTCCAGAACTTTTATAAGCCAAACATTAGACACCTCCTCCGATAACACTCACACCGCTGCACGAGAAAAAAGTGAAACCATTCACACCAAGAAAAAATAAAAGCCTTTTTTATTCCCTGTCGCAGTCCTCTGGTACATCTTGCATTTTATTGAAAAATAAAGAGCCCTAATGATTTAGCCTTAAATGAAAAATCATACCACTAGTTCGAAACATCACAACCATAAACAGGTAACAAAAAACACCTGTCCAAGAACGAAGTCCGCTTGACCAGCACAACAGAACCACCAGTTGAAAATAAACAATTAATACTAATTTTATTAGTTAAGTATCAAATTCATAACAAATTCATTCCGTCAATAAAAATTTTTCTCTTCTTTTTATACAGTTCGAGCAGAAATCAAGAATTTCAAACTCAATACAACCTCACTTCTCACTTTTATACAACCAAGCCTTACTATTTGTATACGAAAAGCAACATAAAGAACTGGGTGTTTCTAGCCTCTTTAAAAAGCTTACTGCGTGGCTAATGCTTCTTCGGTAATGTACAAGTTTGCATATTTTTCATCCATACGAACTCTACTCAAAATGTACAAAAATTCCATCGTTACTTAACGACATTTTATCCAGAAACCATCGGCTACGTTTTTCACGTTACTAGTGAGATATAAACGGGCGAACTACGTTTTCTTTTTTTTTTTCTTTTTTGAGGAAGAAGGGGAGGAGCAAAAAAGGGCCAGTTTTCAAAAGCAAAATATACAAGAGTTAGTCATCAAACTGTCCCATAATCAAATTAAAATAAAACTTCAGAGCATGATAAGCCTTTTTATCCAAATAACCAAAACTTTAAATAACAAAGACTGTTTATATATGAGCACACATTTCTAAAACAATAACACATTCTAACGGTAAGTCCCGTATTTCTCGTAGTGGTTACCCCAGTAATCTGGATCAGGAGCATCGTCTGGTGGTATGCCTAACTCTTCATCAGTAAATTCATCCAAGTAAGGCATATAATAATGTCCCTACAAACTCAGAATAAATTAAATTATTAAAAAAAAAAAAGAAAAAAGACGAAAATGAAAAATTAATGAAATCGCATAAGCTCACAAACAAGTGTCCAGAATGGTAATACATGTGGTAAAAAAACCAGTACCACAAGACTGCGCTGAAAAAATATGTTAGCCTATAATCTGCATATGTTCTTCCTTTAGGAATTTCACGGTACGAATAACTGAAAAAATATAATGTATTCTGCTCGAAGGGAAATAAATTAATTATAGAAGACTTCAAAAAATAAAACTAACGACTTATATTACTGTACTGAGGGAGTGTATTAACTAAACACCTCCTTAGAAAAGTTTTTATACCATCAACATAATTTAAAAAGCAGCCATGAGTGCAAGAGTAATAAGCAAAGTGCAGAATAATAAAGACAATCTTTACATTTTTTCAAGCCAAGAAAGATAAACTGAAAAAAAGGTTACTGTGGCAATGGTTTGCCGCCAAAATCTGGTGAAGAGTGAACTAAGGAATCCCAAGTATGCGTTTCAGGACTGTCAGGATGTCCATGAGTCAAACCAACTGGAACTTCAGGCCCCCATGCATCCTAAAACAGTTAAAATTAAAATAATCGCTTACAGTAAAACTGCTCCAATGCCAAAGAAAAATTTATATTTGAAAAAAACAAGATTCGGACGAGCACTGCAAAAAAATCCATTTTCTCCACTCCTTGAAGCTTAATGATACAAATTGCAACGCACCTTTCCAGAGAGCCATTTCGCACGAAGTGAACCTAACGCAGTTGATCCAAGCCCAACATTTTTTAAACGAAAATGCCATAGAACTTTGGATACGGGATGTACTGAGAGCATATTTTTGTTTATAAATCTGGAGGAGACCTAAAAGGAAATAGAATAAAGACTTGAGAGTTAAATACATTATCTAGCACATCCCTGCTTAAAAAATGGCACACGAAGATGTTGAAAATAATTTGATCATTTGTATAATCATAAGGTTACTTTCAAAATTTACTGTTCAGAAATCTTGGCTGACATTGAAAGAAAAAACTAGTTGTTAAATGTAGAAAAATCCCTTTGATGAAATGAATTATTATCATCTCAATTTGCAGATAGATTTTAATCACAGAGGTTATTTTCACACTTTTCATTCTCTCTAAACAAACCTCATAATATACTCGATTTCATCTGAAAAAGTAACTGCTTCTCAAAAGCTGCGACAGTCCCACCACTAACTTATAGTTCACACCCACAATCCAAAAATAATCAGCTGAATAATCTTCAAAATGACGAAACTGCTAATCATTTCAGTCACCTTAACCTTTTTGGGGAAAGGTTAAAAAGGCACCTCAGTAACAGATCTACTCCTTTTATCCCGATGGGTTTCTCCAAAAACCAGGACCTCCAAAACAAATTTATAGCTTTTCTTAAATGAATAAAAGTGCTTACAAGCACTCTACTCTTGGCTGCTACATTTTTTACAAAATGCATTTGACTCTTTTTTATGTTCGGACGGTCTTCGAATAAACCTTGTTTTCGTAGACTTCAGCGCTTCAAAAACCTATTTTAATGAGTGCAAGCTGTAACGGAACTTCCTGTAGGATTATGCAAACACCTTTTTGAGCTTATTTCCTTGTTGGTGAAATTAGCGCTACTTATGCAAGTAAAAAAAACAAGACCACTCATCAAAAATTCTTAAAACATACCTTAACCTTTCTTTCAGCTAGGATAGCCCAAAAAGCTGTTGAATCATAAATAGCTGAAAGTGTTTTTTATGCTCAAATAAATAAAAGCGAACATCAGAATGCTTCTTGCGCCTTTTCTGATCAATTTCGCCTAGCAAGTCAGTAGCTATGACCTACGTGCAACGTGAAACGGTAGCTACAGAAAAAAATTTTCACGTTTAAGTGATCAGTCGTGGAAAGTGAACAAACAGTTTAATTATCTGTCATCGAGATCGTGAAATACACCTATGTAGATTTTCTAGACAGGTGAAATGATAATCGCAAAATTGCTTCAAACTTCAAAAAATGCAAATAAAAGAAAAAACGAAAGGAAAACCCTCAACTTAAAAAAGAATCAAGCGATATCAAAGTGTGATTAGACACTGCCAAGTTCCAGAACTTATGCGAGGGTTGCAGCACGAAAAACAACAGTGGCGAGTTGCCAAGCGAATAATTTTCAAATTTCGACATCTTGCAGATTCTTGTAGCTGTATAACAGTACTTTTCGTTACTGTAAGTCGCCTAAAAGAAGCTCACCTAACAAGTTTTCACGGCAAAACCGGATTAGGGTAATGCAGCGGGCCGGTGACCACTGGCGACTTGAGTTCAAACTGAGGCATTTTTATCTTAATTATATTGAGTTTCGAGGAGATTTGACACCCTTCTGTTCAACATATTCGTGGCTACGTAAGTTGCTAAATTTGGATGGTTTCCCAAAACCCTGGTCGAAATATTTGCTGAAATGTGACATGGGAGCTAATTTCGTCTATTACTACATTTATTACTTTATTGGCTGAAATAACTTTTTGCTGTATGGGAACTGCACTTTTTTCTTTTCTTTTTTTCAGTTTCTACCAGGTTTGTCCTTAAGTTTTGTGGAAAGTTTCAGTAGGCTTTCAATCTTTTGAGTTTTGAAAATATACCAGTTAAAAAGAGAGATCGACTGTTTTGGGCGTATTCAATTTGTTTTTCTGAACTTAATCTTTAACCGAGTGTTAGCATCCTTAAAGTTTTGTTGTTATTGTGTTCGCCACAATTGTGACTGACTACTGTATGCTGACTTTTACCGGTATTTCAATGGTGTAGAAAAGGAAAAACGAAACAGAAAAGAATGAATCAGCTCCTAAACCAAATCTCATCAAATAACTCAGCAGTGACATCAAAACTGAATAAAACCCAGCATTAGTATTTACCTACAAAAGTTGTGAACAAAATTACTTCAAGACAACCGTAGAGCTTTCAGAATGACCTGGGTTAGAAAGTCTTAATTGCAACTTAAGCATTTTTTTCTGCGTTCGTCAAGGGGCACCACTGTATCTCTCCTCCGTGCGCTATGTGCAAAAAAACAAAGATAGCCTCGAGTTTTTGCTTGAAAAAGAACCATTTTCCTTTCAAAAAATTCAAAAAAGTAAACGCTGGTAGTATCGCTGTTCCTTTTTTTATCCACTGCTTCTTTTTTTAGTATTTCTTGTTCTTCTAGTATTTTTTTTCAACATTTTTTAACTTATATTTTTGCTAGTTTGCAAATCTTTTTTTTGCAAACTAGCAAACAGCTGCCTGTTTACTGCGACTGAGTATGACAGAAAATAAAAAGCAAAATAATCAGAGTTTTACCAACTTTATTCAGCAGTGATATTCTGACGGTAGTATTTTGTGCTGTATGATTCAGCAAAATTTAGGTGGAAATGGAAATCAGAAAGGATAGATTTATTTTTTCACTGTTAACCAAAAAAGCACTGATACTGAAAGAGGCAACACGGAAAAAAAAAAAAAAGGAGAGACACTAACATCTTTCACTTTACTTTTTTGAAGCCTTCCAACAACTGGTAGTGGTCCCGTTATGACCAACATTTTTCCTTCTTAATTATTACAAGATCACTGTTCCTTATTAATTTACAAGGTGTGGAACATAGTGGTAAGCGGTAGTGAAGTAGGTCAAATAGGGAAGGAAGAGTAACGATATTTGAATTTGCAGGTGACCTAAACAGCAGATTCAACACGCCTGATCGGAGGACCGAAAAACCCGTCATATTCGTGAAAAGCAGGTTGATTGAAACATAAAACCAAATGCTTTTTATTGGTCGTCGGAAATGAGGTCATGTTATTTGTTGATTATCAATTATACTCCTCTGCCTACCGTGGCTAATCCGAAGCAAATAATAAATTAAAAAACGGTTTCAGTATTTACCTCTCCCAGATGTCCTTTGGGATCTTAAAATAAATAGTAACTTTACTGCAGGTAAACAACAATGTTGCCTACAGTACCAACCGGCAACTTCCAGAACTGCAATTCCTGACAACTCTTAGTAACTTCCTGGCAATGTTTCGATATACGTTTTACTCAACTACCTTGAAATAAGGATTCGATACAACAGAGGGTGCAAACGGCAACTCAGACAAGCGCTCCTTCATTGGACTCAACATGAACACTAGCAAAGAAATCAAAAAAAGACAAATGGAACAGAAATACCACTTTGTCGGGACGAATCTGATAAATATCAATTCAATGAGAACACCATAAAGCAAAAAAAATCCAAGATATCTAAGACAAAGAAACAGGATACACAAAAAATCAAAATTTCAGAAAGAGAGATAACTGCTAAATGGGCGTGTAACACTACACAAAAAAAGTACTTACAAAAATATTAAGAGGACTAGACTCAGGTCTGAATCAGACTTTTAGAGTCCTCGCTTCCTTTCTTCCTTTCGAACATGGATCCTACACACTGAACTAAAATTCGTTCCTCTCCAAAAACTCCCCAAGACAAAATCGAATATTGTACTTCTCTACATCACCAGTGATATTACACGTATAATCGTGACACTACTAAAAGACCTTTACAACAGACATTATCATCAAATAGTCACAAGCGGCAACCACCACGAACTGAAAGCTCTACCTTTTCCATAAACAGTTATAAAGCCTAGCAAAGTTTTGATGACCTAACCAGAAGAAATTTTGCTACACGGAAGTGGAGATACACCAGAGCAAGAATTAAAATTAATTTTAATGAATAAATCATGCATTTTAAGTAATCTCTAAAAGCGTAAAGTAATTCTCTGGCATTTTAGTGTTTGATTATCGATAGACTAAATAAGCGAAGTACCGAAATTCGTTGTTTGAAGTAGTTGCTGTTCTGAAAATAAGTAAATTAAAAATGTTGAAAACCTCTATCCACTATAAACTTAGTTTCTTGAACCAAGACACCGCAACTTCGCAGTCAGCATTACCAGTTAAAATTGGACAAGTATAAAAGGAGCAATTTTACAGCTTCTTCAGATGAGTGGGTTACCAGAGCTTCGTTGTCTTGATAAACGATTCAAGAGAAATTTCAAAGTGTCGTAAATAGCAATCTAGCACTAACATACTTGTTCCAGTAAGATTTTTTTAATTACCGTTTACCAGCAAATACCGTTTCAATTACTATGTCTCGATGTAAGCCACTGCAAACAATTTAATCAGTACACTAACCGTTTCTAAAGTTTGAAAAAAAATACTGAAGTTCTAAAAACTACAAAATTGGAGCACAAATCGTAAACTAGCCAAGCCATGTCTCACAGAAACTGCTAAAAGTGCTTCGTTTGAGTTACGGTGTTGTCAGACGACTGCACTGGAATCAAGCACGCTACTTCCTTACGTTCTAAAAACAGCAATCCAAAAGCTGTGAAAGGTTTAATATACTAGATACACAAAAAATTTACTATGAATTCATGAAAAATTTGATGTACATCTCGAAAGAGCTCATTTAACATCAGCATAAATGAGCAAAGTCCAGAGAGGCTTTCAATCGCTTCAACATGCTTT